GCTTCGTGTATGCTCAACTTATTTTGAAGCGTCAAAATAATTCCAGACAATTCGTTGTTTGTTTCCAAAAGTTTGCTATGGCGTGCCTGAAGATCGGCATTGTCTTTTTTCTCCGAGCCCAACCACTCCAGGACTTTGTTACGTGACAGTAAATTTTCTTTCTCTTCCACCAACTTTCCGACGTGCGCTTCTTGCTGGTTCGAATATTTCTGCCATCTGGTGTTCATGCTGATCCCGTCTCGAAGTTGCTTGGATAATTTGTCGTTCTCTCTACTTAAGCTGGTCCTCTGCTCCCGCAAAGTGGCGAGCTCGTCGTCGTCATCCTTTCGATTAGTTAGAAACTTTCGAAACTCTTCTTTCAAAGTCGCAAGCTCTATACTCTCTTCTCGGAGCTTCGATAAATCACGCTTCAGCTTGCAGATCAACGCGTCTTTCTCCGATTCGCACGATTTCAAATCGTCCAGATGTTCGCCAAGCTCGGAATCTTTAGAAGCAAGCTCCACAGACAGTTCGGTGATCTTCGATCGCAGCGCACGGATCGTTTTTTGCGCCTCTGCAACCTCTTCGTTGCTGTATTTGTCGTTCAGAATGCTTCTCAGACGTATCGTTTCCTTCAACAGCTCGTTCAACACATGCCTGTCGTGCCCCGGTAAAAATACTTCGTCTTCTTTGAGATGAACGGACGAATCGAGATTGTTCGGAAGCAATCTCGATTGCAGTACTGCGATAGATATGCTGTATTCGCTCACCTTCTTCTCCAAACTCTTAATCGAACTCTCGTATTCTTTCAACACCATATTAAAAACGTCGAAAGACGAAGCCATGTTTGTGCACGTCTCTTTTTCTCTTTGTCCCGCCACGTGCATTAATGACTTATCACCAACCCGCCGTTACAATTAAAGGCAATGCACAGCAGCAGCAGCAGCAGCAGCAGCGACGAAGACGTCAAACCGCAGAAGCGTTTTCGAAAAGAAAAGATATGGGTCTCGGACGACGACGATGATGATGTTCTTCCGTCGTCTACGACATCTGCAGCGGTCTGTGCGGTAAACCCGCTGAACAAGGCAGAACTGACAGGACGAGTTCACGACGAATATAACGTCGGACACGAAAACCCTGCGGTCCCGATTTTGAAGACCTTGAGCTACAGACGTTCGAAAACCGATCGCAAAATATGGTACCAGGTACCGCCTTGGATGGACGTTTTTGCGGTCAGGGAGCTCAGCCGTTTGGAAACGGTCAACGACGTCACGTGGAAAAACATCGTTCCGATGACCAAGCTTGCCGTGTACGCGGACGACGCGCAATCATTAAATCTAATCGGCAGATCGGTGAACGAAGGACGGTCCATCTTTCCTCGGTTGGTGTACGAGGAGTTTAGGTC